GGATGGATGGATGGATGGATGGACGGTTTTGCAATGAGCTAGAGCACATCCATTATTTTTTTAGCAAATCGTATGTTTACAAAAAAAGTGAATTGCATTTCTGCTCTGGTATATATTAAATTAAATATAAATATTTTTTGTGGAGAATTGTTCCACAGTAGAATGATTCCATGACATCAGTTAAGTTTAGCACCAGTTCTTGTTAAATGTTTTACATGAAGTAATCTCAGCATTTGTAATGTATGAATAATCATTCTGGAGTAATTCATAATTATTTTTTACCATGTGCAGTCAGGCCATCCTCATATATTGTAAGCTTTATATTTGTCAAAGCTAAATAAGAAGTGCTTTCAGATGGAGTCTTGTGCTGACTAAATGAAACCCTTCCAGACTGGAGCTCCACAGTGTGTTGCTGTAATCCGCAAGCCAGCAATCAGAGAACATAATGACTACAAGCTGTTGCAGTGACTGCCGTTCTGCAGAGAGCGGGAATAAAAACGTGAATGGGCAGCTTTTGTTTTTGAGAGGAGACAGTTGTTTAGGATGGGCTGCATCCAGACCACACGGGCCAACATTCCCCCACGCCGGAGTCCTGTACGGGCACGGTCTTATCACGGCACCTCCGGCTGGGAAGACCACACATACACACACACAGAGAATCCTTGTTTTCTCTTCTTCACCAGCAGTTTAAAAAAAAGGGGGAAACAGAAAGAAATGTCCTGGGAGTGAAGCTTTCTTTATTGGGGAACTTAAAAAAACTGGATAACCATGAGATTATCCTAATTCCAGACTCAGAAACCCAGCATTTTAATAAAGGGGGGGGGGGGGGGAATGAGTTGAACAACTTCCTCTTTTTTTTTTTTTACATCCTTCTTTCTGTCTTCCAGTTACACCAGCCGCCACATGCGGAGGTACTTGTATGTGTTGGACAGTATGTATTTCCCCGGCACCGGCTGCAGGCGACTAGAGCACTGTCTGGGTGCCGTGGGCGACGCAGGGGAGGAGCTTGCACACTTGACTTGCTCATTGATTATCAGGTCCTATGCTTCCAGGTTAACAAGCTCCGCCCTCTTACCTCTCCTGTAACTGGCTGTTGCATGTTCACTTGCTGCTGCCTGCATGATTGCTGACCCGTATTTGGCTCCATTGTTTCTTTCTCTTTCTTTGTACATTATGTTAAGCCAGAATTCATCCCGTAGTCAGATACTTGTTAATTCATTGCTTAAATGCCTTGAATGAAAAGTACATTTCCTCAGATTCATCCTTGACTTAAATTTTAACACAGTCCTTCATTTTCAAAAGGTCGCTTTGAAAGATTGTGGACTACTTAGATGTTTTGCATTATGTACCTTTGTAAAGGTACACAGTCCGTATTCCGCTTAAATGCCTGTTATAAGGTTTATATGTAAAATGTGTAATTATGTTTAAGACAGCAAGCAATGGTAAAATTCCTATTTCAATTAACAATTGATTTCTGAATATTTTGGTTAATCTTAAATGAACTCTAATAAGGCAAATCCTTATTAAAATAAATTTAAAGTAAGACTGATGTAAAGAATCATTCAATAATCAGTGCAGGCAGGTCTATGCATGAGATGTAGTATGAATACTTTGATGCATTTGGTGAGGGAATTAACTGTCATTTACATAAATACCAACTTTGGTCGGCTGGCTGGCGTGAGATTTTCAAATCGAGACAAGTTTGCACACACATTTACATGTATGTAACTATTGTATTACTTTTTACATAGTCTGTAGGGTTTGTGAAGTACCCCAATGCTCGTCATAGGCATCCATGTCATTTAAAGTAGATGCTAGCGAATCGATCATAATCAGTGTGTCCAGAGCTGCGCATACCTCGCTGCGCGGACACAAATTTGGAGTGCAGCAGGCATTTGTCCGCGGAGTCACACAGTGACGTCATATCGTCATAAACGTTCCAGCGGACACGTCCGCTAGTGCACGTATGGAGAAGTATGAACCAGCCTTTTTGAAACTGAGAGCTACTTCACGGGTTCTGAGCCATATGAAGGGCTACCTGTTTGATACACTCTTCTAAAATAACAAATTTGCTCAGTATAATAAACATGTTTTAAATGTTTTTTTTTTTTAAATATCATTTTCAAATCTATATAAATGCAAATATGATTAAAGAATAATAGCAACAGGGTAAAATTAAATTTTAGAGCTTGCTCACTAGTGAGTTGTGCTATTTTTAGAACAGGTCCGCGGGCAACTCGTGGTCCTTGGGGGCGTCCTGGTGCCCGCGGGCACCATTTTGGTGACCCCTGCTTTAGAGTGATGAACTAATTTAAGACATGTGGCCACAGCCTGATGATTGGGTTGAACACAGAAAGCATGTATATATGATGTCTAATGTAATCCGTGTACATTTTGAGGTGGACTTGTTTCGTGTAGAAGTACAGCGTATGGCTCAGAAGGCTATGCCTTTGTGCTGGTGATCGGCTGGTCGCTGGTTTGAGCTCAGCCTCAGCAGGATAGTCCCATGTCTGTATGCCCTTCAGCAGGGCCCTTAACCCCCAGCCCCATGGGCGCCTCTGCAGGCGGCTGCCCTTCGCTGCCAAACTTGCTCTCACCTACATATCTGTCTGTGTGTCATGGAGAGCAAGATGGGGTAGAATTTTCCCACGGTGGTCAATAAAACTGTCAACATTATTAATATTATTGTTTACTATAATGATAAATAATAATAATTATTATTATTATCATTATTGTTATTGTCTCTGTTTATCTGTCTTACTATTTTTTAAGCCTGTTTTCCTGTATATGCAAAATGTTATGCATCCAAGACACATAATCCAGGTTCCTTTCTCCATATGTAAACAGTGCTGCAAAATTGATTACTAGTTTTCTACTCTGATGTTGGGTTTTACAAAAAATGTTTATTCAGTGAGTAATCAGCCTGTTAATCCAACATCATTAAGCGTATCCAGGGAATTTGTTAATAAATACTGCTATCATTAGATTTAATCTCTGGCATTTTTCTCATGTTCTGACTTTCATATTTTAATCATAGAAATTTTCTCATTAAGATTTGGCCCGTTTTATGTTTCTTGGGTCATTAGAGTCATTGGATCATTTGGAAGTTTTGTTACCGGCTGTTGCACAAAGAGTATTTGCCCAATGATTGAAATAATGTGATTTTTATGTCACAAGTCATGAAAACCAGAGTTTGTTTAGGGGGGAAAAGGAGGAAAATATGTCTGGAAATGAGTTTTTGTTTTTCTTTACAAATATTTGTGAAGTGAAATTTCTTCTATTATGTTCAGGGCTCTGGTTTTTAAAAGTGCCTGTTGGGTTGCGTGTGATTCATAACTTTATTATGCAGTTTCAAACAAATAGAATTGAGCGTTATTACGCAAAAAAATAATGAAATTAAAAACTACATGATGAAAGATTTTCCCTGCGACCCTGTCCAGAATAGAATGGAAGATGTTTTAGTGGATGAATTAAATATTCTTGCTGTAATTCTTTAAACATTTAAATTTCGCATGATTTGGTCCCGAATGACCTCCCATTGAGAGTTAGAATCTACCTTATGTTTCATGTTAGGTTTTCTCTTTTCTAAAGCTTGTATTTCTAACCAGGTTTTCTTGTATTTGTTGGAAAAGCGTCAAAGCTGAGACTTGCTGCTGCCGCTTCTAAGGGCTGTGCTTACTCTGCTGGTCCATAAACCCCAGCAGCATGACCAGTGTATGTGACACTCAATGAAGGCTCACTTTGCAGCTTAATCAATCTTAATGACCCAGCGAATCCACCACCTCACCTCTTTTCATCGCTTGAATAGCCTTAACACATTTACAGGTGTATTTTAGACTTACTTTAGGCTGAGCATTAAGTTTTTAAGTTTATTTTTACATCTTTGCCAACAGTTCAGTGTTCAGTAATTGAATGTATTCCTGTCATGAAGTTTAATGATCTGTTATGTTGTCAGGGAGACAGGAACTCAGCCTTACTCTCCGCTTCAGAGTGAGGGGGATTTTTTTTTTTTTTTGTCCATTCTGTTGATTTTGTGAGTAGTTTATTCCATCTGTGCACCCACTAGGCTGAACTGAATCTATTGTTTAGATATTTGAAGGAGCTTCATCTAAGCTGGATGTATGGAGTAGATGGGCTGGTGAGATACCCAAAGAACTAAACATTTCGGGGGTTGAAACCTCTGTTCTGTTTGCTTTTACAGAAATTCAGACTCATACACGTCATGCAGGGATTTTTTTTACTTAGTCAATATCGAGAGAGAGAAATCTTTCCTAAAGCAGTATCAGATGTATAGTATTTTTATTTGAACAGATCTGTCTCTAATATATTAGCGAACAGTCCATGCAACAATGTGACATGAAGAATTTTGTATTTCTAAGATGTTCTACCAGCCCTTGCATAGTTACTTTCAAATGTGTCCAGCTGCTGTGTTGTGCGATGTGATATGAAAATCTTATAAGTTGATGGTGGTCCCCAAAAAGCCACCTTCGGAGTCCATTTTAGTTCTGTTTTCTCTATTAATATCAACAGTATATCTGCTGTTTCTCTTCAGTTCAATATTTGCAAGAATAATTGATGTTCACTGGAGTATGTTGAGACAGAGTGGTTGAAGAATTGCACTTGATGCAATTGATTGATGTGGATTACAGCCAGAGGTAGGTAATTCAGGTCTAGAGAATAAAAGTCCAGACCAAGATATTGTCTCAGACAACCAGTTGGGCACACTGTGATTGTGACAAACAAAATCTTGGTCTGGACTTTTGTTCTCTGGACCTGAACTACCCACCTCTGATTACAGCTTTAGCCAGCTGACTCTGCCCAGCAACATACCAAAAAACTGTACTGTCTTAACACCCAGAATGTCTAATCAATGATGCATCTAATGGCATGACTTTAGAGGCAACAACTGTAGAGGTTAATGAGATCAGTGCTGAATTCTATGCCAATCAGTTTAATCTCTGTACTCTGGCCGATTCGTTGATTATTAAGGTATGGAGTTTTGAAAGATTTGAGTTTAGATTACAGGGGTTGGATTCAGAAATGCTGCATTCAATTAACCACAGCATTTATACAATGTATCTGTTCAGTTGTTCTGTGGAATGGATATTATGTATATTGTGGTTTAAAAACTGTACTTTTCTAAAGGTTTTTAATGTTTTTATTTCATTTGTCTTTCCGTCCTTTTCAGTTGTTATAATTTAGAGCTACCACTAAAATACAGTTGTGCAATTTTTTTACACAGGGAAACTGTTAAAGTATTTAATTTTATGTATTTCAGCTGTGTGCAACTGTTCCAAAATACTATGAAGTATGATTTGCATTTTTTTTTCCCATTTTGACGTTTCGTGCACAGAGAAACATTTTTCTAGACTTAAAACACCTAGGTTCTACATTAATCTGTTAAAACAGGGAATGACTAGTGTTCTTCATTTTTCTTCATTCTTGTCATATTTTTAAGCCTCCTTTGTTTGTACTAAGAATGTCTTGTCTGGTGTCTAGCTGACACTGATAGGACCATTTAGCTCAGTGTTTCCCAATCCGGTTCTCGGGGACCCAGAACAAAGACGTGAGCCGTCTGTTGGTCCTCGAGGACTCAGTTGGGAAACACTGCTGTAGCTTTTAGGGTTAAATAAGGTCGGCTGAGTGAAGGTAGGAGTGGAGGTGTGTGCTTGCCAGGTGTGGATAACCTCTTCGCGATTTAGCGGCTGTGGCCATATGTTGCGATAATTGTTTTATGACTTTGTTAACTTGTTCTTTGTAGTCCACTTTATTTGTGGATACCAGTTTGCCACAGGCCTGGATGACTTGATCTTTCTGGTCAGCAGTTTTCTTTATCAAAATACGAGTAATTTAATGTTAAGCACTCAATGATTTTAATTAGTTTTTTTTTTATTTTACTTTTTTGTATCAGTTGTCTGTTTTCATCATATATACATTGACAATCATAATGTATCATCCAGGACCTAAACATTATGTTCATTGATTTTTAAATGACCTCATGCACTGAGAGCTTCAAATCTGCATGGCAGTTCAGTATTTTGCCATTTGCATACGGTTGGTCTAGCAGTGATGTGTAACGTAAACATCTCACAGCTTTTCTGTAGCACACATTTCTTTTTTTTATGACTCTTCATACAGCCTGGTTCACTTGCTTGGCTTTTTGTTCCTTGTGAGCAGTGAGTCGTTTGCCTGGCATGCCGTGCTGCATCGATCGTCAGTATGATAATCGCCAGTGGGGTTACCACTGCGTTGGGGTTACCCCTGCGTGGGGGTTACCACTGCGTGGGGGTTACCCCAACCAGCTGCCATATCATCTCTGACACTTTGGATGTGAGCCGTCCTCCATGACTGGTGAAAGACATGTTCAACTCTATACATATGCTGCCATAATTAGTTTTGGTGAATTTGATTTAATTTCACCTGAGACGGATGTGTTCTATTTTCTGAATAACAACTAAGACCCCTGCACCTGCAAGTCAAGGCTAAATGCACGATAGCTATTTTGCACTGTACGTTGTGCATAGTTCACTGTCTGAAAGCTATACTGTAACTTAGAACAAGAATTACATAAAAAATTTGAATATGGTTAAGCTTAAGCTTTAATTTAGTTTTATCTTAATACAATCCCTTGAAGTAATGCAAATTTATGTCTATTTCAGTAGAGTTCAAAGAGTTGATTTGGATCTTATTCTCCCTTTGCTACTATTCTTTTTAGTGAATCCGAGGCCTGTGTTCCATTGCTATTGTTCCCCATGAGAGAACTTGCTCTGTAGGTAGCCATACATTTAAGACTCAAGAACATTCTATAGGTTTTTACTTTGCGAGCACAGTAGATCCGAAGATCCCAAACGGACAGAATTATATCTTAAAGAACGTCAGTAATTGTATAGTAAAATATGGCCGCTTTTCCACTGCCACCAAGGACCGAGCCGTACCCAAAGTGTACCGCAAACTGGTGGTTTTTCTTTGTAAAGTGTACAAGCTGCACCCAAGCCATACCTGAGCCGTACCTGCGCTGACCTGGAAAGTGTGACCAAGCCAAGCTGGTTGTGCCACCACCATCTGATTGGTCGAAATGCATAGGAATACTGGTGATCTGCATCAATATGCATGGATTATCTGAAGCATATATTCTATATATTATTTATTAGTAGTCTAGCACATCACAACGTGCTTGTGCATTCCCAATAAGTCAGAATTTGAACATTTCCAAACTCCTACTTGATGCAGTACTATGGAACTGCCAAACAGAATGGATTCATAATGCAAATTTACACAAGCGAATGCTAATTCCAGTAGCATTTTGTGGTAGCATAACACAGCAATTCCCACAGACGTGCTAGTGGTAATTAGCACACAGTATATCATGATGTACACCGTGTGAACAGTAAATAAGCATCTCTGGTTTTACGTCACTGTCGCTTTCCAAACCCGGCAACGCCTTGACCGAGCCGACCCTTCTGCAGTGGAAAGCCAAAGCGAGCCAGAACCATGCAGTAACTAGTCTCTCTTCGCAGTACGGCTCAGGTACGGGTCGGTTCCCAATATGCCAGTGGAAAAGCACCATATATAAACATATATATTTTACATACTTATATTGTTTTGGATCTTTACAGTATTAGAGGTATTTCTTTTTCTTCTTTTTTAAAATAACATACTGATCTGACTTGATTATGAATCAGATGCTCATGCATGTCCTTTCTCCCTCCTTCTCTTGTCAGCCTGTTTGCACTGTTGTCCAAAAAGCACAATAAGGTTCTGGAGCAGGCCACGCAGTCCCTGAGAGGTCCGATGGGCTCAGAAGGCAACGCCGCACTTCCAGACTATGTGAGTCTCACAGTCTTTGCTGTATTTCTATTTAATAATGTTCATTATTTAACTTTTACAAAATAAATATGATTTAATAATGTATTTTGTTAATAGACGTACGTTTGTTTTTTCTTTTAAAGATAGCTCCATGTTATGTTGTGCTTACTGAGTTATAAGTAATAGACTCAAACTGATTATACAACAACCTTTTGCATTGTCTCACTATGGGGCTATATTTGCATTTATTTACATTTTCATTGTTTTGCTCAGAAGCTCATTGCAAATAATACATGATTTATAAGCATGATAAAGCATAGAAAACACTGTTTGCAAGATGAATAAAATACTAAACAAGCTATAGGAATATTTGAAATAAAACGAAAAAACTATATATCAAAAAATAAATCTGCACGATATTTTGCATTCAGGCCAAAATGAAAAGCTTCACTCCTAGCTCTGGGAACTAAGTGGGCTAGCATGTAGATTTAAAGGCTACTGCTTTAATAATGAAAATGAGGAATGAAAAGCCGTAGGGGGGGGGGGGGGACATGGAGCCAGTGAGTGACGTTCCAAACCCAGGGCTGTCCGGCAGAGGGTGACGGCTTCTGCTCGGCTGTTGATGCCGTGTCACGTCCAGGAAAATGAGTGAGGGAGGATCACGCCTGGGTGTCTCTTGCTAATTAAACCTGATTGCCCTGTATGGGAGTGCCAGTTTCTATCCATCTCTGAGCTGGGGGGTCTGTCCGCCAGCAATTACCCTGTCTCACACTCCTGCCCTGTATGGGAGTGCCAGTCTCTATCCATCTCTGAGCTGGGGGGTCTGTCCGCCAGCAATTACCCTGTCTAACACTCCTGCCCTGTATGGGAGTGCCAGTCTCTATCCATCTCTGAGCTGGGGGGTCTGTCCCCGCCAGCAATTACCCTGTCTCACACTCCCGCCCTGTATGGGAGTGCCAGTCTCTATCTATCTCTGAGCTGGGGGATCTGTCCGCCAGCAATTACCCTGTCTCACACTCCCGCCCTGTATGGGAGTGCCAGTCTCTATCCATCTCTGAGCTGGGGGGTCTGTCTGCCAGCAATTACCCTGTCTCGCACTCCCGCCTTGTATGGGAGTGCCAGTCTCTATCCATCTCTGAGCTGTTCGAAAAAAAATTACCTAGAACTTGATCTGAATCTCAGAAGTCAAACCGTGAACGCCGACCTTAGATAACTTGTATGCGCGGGGAAATGAGTCACACCGCACGTCTCTCAGCGGAAACAAAGGATAAAGCTTCAGTCTCAGCCTCGCATTCGCTGTGATAGCAACGTGCATATTTACACTAACTGAATACATATATTTAGACAGTAAAAATACATTTAGACAGACAGTAACAGTAATTATTATATAATAAAATATATTTGAAAATAAATATTTCTTGTTAATTATTTTAATATAAATAATAAACCATTAATACATTTAATTATAATAATATTGTCGTGCTGAGTGGGACGGAACGGAGAAAAAGGCACAGACATCAGGGTATCGGGGAATACGGGGTTTAATTACAGGTAAGGCAAAACGCAGACGGACAATACAATGACCGGACTGGGGAAACAAACTGAAACACGGACGAAATACAGAGGGCTAATGATAACAACCAGAAACAGCTGATCACGCGGGGATTCCACAAAAGGGTGGTTAACGAGGGGTCGTGGCACATGGAAGGAGCGGATGATCAGGGCAGGACACATTGTTTGGATACATTTATTTTCTTACTTTACAAATTACTGTTTTGATAAATGTGCTTAGATGTGTTTAGTACAGTATATGCGCTTCTTGTTTTATCCGGTTCATTTTGTGTTTAAATGCTAAAAAAAAAAACACATTTAGGTGTAATTTTTTGGGGCCGGGAACCAATTAATTGGTTTTCCATTAATTCTTATGGGGAAAATTCGATCAGAACTCCAACTTTTTAGGACTCGATCCGGAGTTCTGAACGGATGAAGTTCGAGAACTGAGGTACCACTGTGTGTGTGTT